ACCCACTGCTTCAAAGGAGGAGCATCTATATGGTTTCTTCTGAGTTGCTGGGGTTCACTGCTTGCTTGAAATTTGCCGCCGGCCTAACGAGCTCTTCTGTGTTTGTTTCTGCAGGACGTCGCACTGTTGGAGTACCAGCATCATTCCAGGGATTTTGCTTCCCACCTCCCACCGGGGTCTATCATGCAGCCGCAGCGGCGGCCCACTGCTTCAAAGGAGGAGCATCTATATGGTTTCTTCTGAGTTGCTGGGGTTCACTGCTTGCTTGAAATTTGCCGCCGGCCTAACGAGCTCTTCTGTGTTTGTTTCTGCAGGACGTCGCACTGTTGGAGTACCAGCATCATTCCAGGGATTTTGCTTCCCACCTCCCACCGGGGTCTATCATGCAGCCGCAGCGGCGGAGGCCGTCCCTGCTCTCCGAGTTCCAGCCAGGCAATGAAAGGTACCGGCTCCCTGCCTCCCCCCGAGCCGTGGGCATCCCCACTGCATTAGCAAGTATTTTGCGCGGCGCTGTGATGCGGAGGAGGGCTCTGAGACCTGGACGATGTTATGTTGTATATTGCTCCTGGCTGCGCTCAGTCTCTGTGCCGGTCTTAGCTTCGTTGTGCTAATGCAAGTCACACCTTTGCCTTCTGGTTTCTTCCCTTGGACTGTCGTGCATTTTAAAGACATCTTAAAAACACCGAACAACAAAAAAACCCCACCCCCCCTCACTTCTGTGAAGCTACTCATCGCTGTGACTGGTTGCATCATCTTTCTTTAACGTGGAAAATAAAGCTCTGATGGGCTTTGGTCTGTGGCTCCTGAGGCCAAAGGGAGGAGTGAGCAGGGCTCACTTCCACTGTGCATCTCTGCTTCCTCCTCTGCCGCTATTCCTCCCCGCTTTCATTGTTTTTGTTTCTCTTTCCGCATTCCCCTTGCAACTTTCTCTGAGCTGCTTTTTTCCTGTCTGCTCCCCTCGCAGCTCTCCCGGTGTCGCCGATTGCTTTCGTAGCCTCCCGTGGGAGGCTGGCAGTGTTTTTGGGTGCGACTCAGGCAAGCGCCGTGTGGCTGGAAATGCTGTAGATGCTTTAACCACAGGAGCTGATCTGTTCTGAAGGCCATCACTCTCACTCTCTGTTTCGTCGCAAAATGCTGCGCTCTCACAGTTTCTCTTCTGCATTTGATGCTTAGTGGTTTTGGAAAAAACTGACCTGGAAGTGAAATAAGAGCCTTGCTACAGTAGATTTATGCAAAGTATTCTTTTTATGCTTATTCCTTAGTTGGGCTAAGACTCAAAACACTGCAGAGTCAGAGAGATGAATCTGTTTCTCTAAAATAATAATTGTTAGGGGAGAGGGGAAAGACCTCAGTGCTGGATGCCTAAGGGCATAGATGCAGTCATGGCCCTCTTTTTCTAGTGGGATGGATGTGGCTCCGGGGAACCCATGAGAAGCTGAAGGCAAAAAGCAGCCTTCAAAGTTATTTTGCATCTGCCTTCCTGGATGTGCTCTTCTGGGCTGTGCCTGTGGCACCTGCAATGTACAGAGAGCAGTGTCACTTCTGATGGCTGGTAATTTATCGCCGCGTGTTGCATTGCCTTGGCTTGCTTTGATTTCTCAGCGCTTTTATTTCTTAGCACAAAGTAACACGGTTAAGTTGGAAGTGGGTCAGATTCAGCTAAATTTGGGGGAGATGAGTAAAGAGGACCCGGCAACATGCTTGTGCCTGTTTTTGTTTTTCACACTACTTACAGTTTGCAAAATGGAGAACCAGTTCTCCGCAGTAAAATGAAGGTTTCAATGTCTGAATATGCTATTTAAAAAAGTTTATCTTGCTTCTTCCATATAACTAAAAAAAAAAAGCAACTGCAAGCCTTGGTGTCTGCTGTACCACATGCCTAATCCGGTGTGGTCATCCAAGCATCTTGCTTTGGCTTACAAATGTTTCAAACTCTCCAAACGTATTTTTGTGTTGACAATCACATGAATGTGGGTAAATGTTAATCGAGGTTGTCAGGTCTACATACACACCTGAATGCTTATCATGGTTACTTCACTTCCAACTTGAATGGTGAAGTCTTGGCATGCTCTAAAAAAACCCCTTTTTTTGTAACAAACCCAACTTACATTTCATCCGTTTTCCCTGTAACATCAGAAAAATTGAACTTTTGCAAAAATTATACTGGGTAATGAAGCTAAAAATACCACTTAAGTTCAGCTCAGATGGCATCTTGTGCCAGAATGCTGGGATATAGACTCGTTAAAAAAAAAACCAAACTGTTGGGCATCTGGGGATGCAGGATGGGAGGTCTGCAGAAATTTTCAACCCAGTGTAATTAAATAGTGAAGTCATTCAAACTGGGTCGCGTTGGGGCTGGGGAGCTGTTAGTCCATTTTGCAAAGCCAGCTACTGTTTTTCTGCATCTTTAAGCGCTACCCTTAAAAAAATCTATCCTATGGGGGCTTTGCTTTTTCATTTTTGTGGTGTGACCATCTGCTCTAAAACAGCACCTGCTGTGTTGTAAATGGGGCCCTTTGGGTGTTTGGTTGCTCACCTGAGGGTTCCTTGGGTGCACAAGGGCCAAGACCCTGGAGCAGGTTGGGTTGGTCATTGATGTCAACCCCAAAAAATAGCTCTGGCTCTGCCTGGTATGGAGCAAAGCCTGGACAAGGGAGGGTGGTGAAAGCAGCCATCTCTGCAGCTGAGTCCCTTTGGCAGGTTCACGCCGTGCGCATCTGTAAGCACTTTGGCTTTGTTCCTGGGCTGGGATTGATGGTTTTGAGCAGAGGCAGCTGGCTCTCACCCTGAGGGGCTGGGTAGGAGGGAGCAACCGAAGGCAAACAAGTCATGTCTGCAGCGCGGGCACAGGGGGTAAATAGGGGGAAGCACAGGGGTGTGCTGTGTCTGAAAGGAAGACCCTCACCTTGGTTCCCTGCCTGATACCCCACGCAGTGGCGTGGGCGCGAGACAGTCCTCCTCCCCTTGAAGCAAATGTCGGTGGAGGGGAACCCTTCCAGTCCCCCGTTGCTCCGGGTGTTCAGGGGAAGCAGCCTGTCCGCTGTTGGTTGCGGTGGCTGATGCTCTTCCAGGATCACTCCCCTCCTTAAAGAAATCAAGTTGTGAGTCTGGTGCAAGTGGAATGTGGCAGACTGACAGTGCTGGAGGTCGAGCCCTGCGTGTGTTCCTAGATGGACGTCCCTGCCCTGCCATCGCCTTGCCTTGCGCTGATGGAGAGCTGTGCCTGCAACCAGAGAGCGTGCTTCAGCCCTCGGGCAGCTCGGTCCCGGTTCCTCTGAGCCCACCTGCCCAGTGGGCAGCCAGTGTTGCCCTCCTCTCCTGGAAACCATAGCGATTCACTTTGTGCTGGTTTTCGGGGGTCATCCCCCAGTTTGGCTTTGCCTTCACCTTGGGCGGATCTCTAAAGCCTTTGCAAGCTGTCTTTGCACATATGATTTGAGGCTTGACCCCATGGATGCTTTAAATCCTGCAGAAATCATTTGGGCTTGCTTAGATGGTCTTCCTTCCAGGTCTTCTGTCTCTCCTGGCTGCGCTTTTGCTGTAGCCACCAGGGTGGTGGTTAGTTGTGGTCCAGTGAAACGGGAACAAGCAGTGAAGCATTTCACCATGGGCCCAGTGTTTTAAGTATGAATTGGGTGCTGGTGACTAAAAGCTGTTGAGTGGTAACTTGCTGGAAGGGAAGGGGTGCTGAGGTGGTCCCATATTTTGGGGTTCCCTGAGCCAGAAACTTGTTGAATGTCGGGCTCAGGCAGCTGGATGTGCCCACAGCTGAGCCTGGTGGGTCAGGCAGGATGGGGAGACCCGGTTCCTGAAGTGTCACACTATCGTGGGCTCTGCTCCCTCGGGGGTGACGTGTCTCCTGCTTCCCACCCCAGCCAGCTCAGTCCTGCAGGAGATGCTGGGGAGCTGCAGACTGCCCTTCTCCCAAGTACCTCAGCCTTGAGAGTTGTCATCGCCCCTTCGTGGATGGGTAGACACCCAAACTCCCTGTGCAGCAATTCTGGCTTGGAAGAAGGAAGGAAAACTTGAACCACTCTGAATATGGCTCCGTCTATCTGTGCAGGGATGTGCTGCTTTCCTTGATGGTTTTTTTGGTAGCAGGCTTTTTCTTGGAAGGATCCACAGTCTTCCCCTTGGCTTGTTCGGTTGGCTCTGCCAACTGGACTGCAGGAGCGAAGAGAAGTATTTCAGGATCTGCTGTTGGTACAAGTCGTACCATGAATACTTGCAGAGGAATGTCCTGGCAAGGTGACAAGGATTAGGGTTTTCTTCTCCTCTCTCTATATATTTTGGTCTGCAAAAGAAGTGAGAAAAACTGGGTTGAGTGTTAAGTGGCAGGTGCCAGGGAGGTGAGGGGTCTGAAAAATCAAGGAACTGGATTTTTCTGACTTTTTATAAGCGTTACGATTTTAGAACAAGATTCCATACTAACACAGGAATGCTGGGGTGGATAATGGCTTCTCTGGCAGAAAACATGGCTGTAAATAAGTGGTATGCATGTTAACACAGTATATTCTGCCTTTATCCAGAATAAGATGAGTCACTATTTTCATAGAAGATTATCTTCCCAGTTCATGAGACCATGCTCCTTTTTCAGAGCCTTTCTGCTTAGCAGTCATGAGGAGTTTGAAGAGTTTGCCCGGTGTTGATCTGAAGTACGACATTTAGGAAACATTAAGCAGCTGCCGTGTTTCTGCAGCCATCCAAGATAGCCACGTGCAATATAGTATGAGAGCAGGCCTAATTACTGTGCTTATTGAATGTGATTAATCCTGGTGGCTGAGGAGCCCGGGGAGTGGTGGGAAGCCGGGGCGGTGCGCGTGGCCGCTGGAAATCACGTGCAGCTCTCTGTCTTCATCTGTGGTGGGCCAAATGGCACCAACCGCTCCTGAGTTAACAGCGCGACCGATCTGATTTTATTTATGGTCTTTAATTAACTGTCCGTTTTTAAAGGTGACGCCATTCTCAG